TGCCGTTTTAGGAAATGTCTCTGCCTGCCCCTGATCCTTGACACAAGCCGGGCTGGGGTAAGGGGGGGGGGGGTGCTTGATGGCTTTTTAATCTATTTTTAAAAGGAATGTTGCAAAATGATTTCAAATGTGCTGATTTTTGATCCGGTTTTCTTCTGTATATATTGCTCCCTACCGTAGTGTTGTACATATGTCGGAGTGATGAAAGCAGGCCTTTCCTGCTCGGTTTAACCTCCTTCCGCACTTCTTTGTTGTAAAGTCACTTTTGTAAAGCTCTGAATGAAATGGAGAGGCTTGGAGAAAATCTGTATTAAACTGGGTATTTTTGTATTACTCTGATCATTTCGTTCTTTATTGCTGCACCCAGAGGGCTTGGAGCGCTTCGTAAACCTCGCTGATCTGATCTCCAGGTCCTCTGTGAGGGAGGGATTGTTGTGCCTATTTCACAGCTGGGGAAACTGAGGCGCAGAAAGGTGACTTGACCCAAGTTGCAGTGCGGGAGGTCTAGGTTGGATATTAGGAAACACTATTTCACTAGAAGGGTGGTGAAGCACTGGAATGGGTTAACTAGGGAGGTGGTGGAATCTCCATCCTTAAAAACCTCTTATGCCCAGTTTGACAAAGCCCAGGCTGGGATGATTTAGTTGGGGATTGGTCCTGCTTTGAGCAGGGGATTGGACTAGATGACCTCCTGAGGTCCCTTCCAACCCTGATATTCTATGATTGTGCAGGAAATGGGTGGCAGAATTTCAGACCAAATCTGGTAACCTAACAGTGACAAGGCTGTAGAGAGGAAGCATGGTCCAGTGGTTAGGGAGCCAACTGGAGACCTGGGTTACAGTTCCTGCTCTGCCACAGATTTCCTCTGTGACCTTGGGCAAGTCACTTAATTGCTCTGTGCCTCAGTTTCCCATCTGTAAAACGGACTGCGAGGGTCAGTCCGTTACCGATCATGCGGCGCTCGGATACTCTGGGGAGGGGGGCCAGGTACATATGTCAGATAGATGCTTGGTGTAGGGAGCGGCGCAGCTGGAGAGAGGGGCTTGCGGAGAGCTCCAGAGGATGCCAACAGCCAGCCCCCTGGGCTGAGCTACAGAAGGAAGCTGACTGCAGCGGATGACGGCTGAACTACAGCAGGGTGTGTAACCCTCCGAATCTCTATCTGGTATCAGCCCCTGGCGGCCTCTGCTCTCCGTGCAGTGCAGCGTGATGGCAATTTGTACTTATGCACTCAGGGAGTGGGGTTTTCGCTTTCCCAAATCTGCCCATCATGAGGCATTGAAACAACCCAGCGGCTTGTCCTCCACCTTGGTACGCGCTGCTCCCTGGGAGCTGTCTACATGGCAGTGGCGTGAGATCCCTGCTTGAGGCACACCTCTGATCCTGGGCCTGGCTTGGTCACCGATGGCAGCATAAGGAATGCAGCGGGAAGGCTCGGTGATGTGAACGGGCTGTTTGAAGGGGATGCCCGGAATTCTGCACTCCGGGCCCCTGCTCATGGGCACGGACTGGGCTGGTGCAGAAAAAGGATCTCGTAGAAGGGCCTTGATTGCGACTGGAGCAAATTGGATGCCGGTTGTCAGGGCAGTGCCACTTGCTTCCCATGCACCAGGCCTATCCTATACCCTAACTCCAGCCTCCTCCCTCCCTGCAGGACTTGACCTGTCTGGATTCTCGCTCCCAGGTGGGACCACGGGGCTGCTCGTCAGACTCTCAGCTCAGGTAAATGGAACCCACCGAGGGGGCTTAGGCCCCGGAGGCTCCCTCCCGGTTGGAATATGTATGGCTTGCGCCAAAGGGAGGACCAAGAAAGAGGCGGCTGGATCGCTACACGGCAGTGGAGGGCATTATTGGTATTCCAGTAACATCCACAGGCCCCAGCCAAGGTCAGGGCTCCACTGTGCTCAACACTCTACAAACCCAGTAAGAGACACTCTGCCCCAGGTAGCATCCAGTCCAAACAGACGAGACAGAGGGTGGGAAATGGGGCACAGACAGGTGGAAATAGAACCCAGGTTTCCTGACAGTGGTGCCAATGCTCTATCCACTAAACCACGCTCTCTCCTACTGTCAGGCTGAACGACTCTTCCTCAGCTGGACTCACCCTGCAGTTCAGTTTCTGGGGCTCTCTGGGCCCAGGGTGGGGGGCACGTGTTTATGTTGCTCCCCCTCCGTTTCCTTGCTGGGCCCTTCCCAGTATTCAGTTGTGGGGACTTCCTTGCTCGCCAGCCAGGACTGAGCGTGGGGAGAAACGAATGCCTCCTTTGTCAGCAGTGTGCTCTGTGGAGGTGATGCACATGAGAAGGGAGGATGGAGTGTCTCCAGGCTTGTCTGTGTGCGGAAGTGACTCCAAGGTAGGGGGTGAATTTAATGTGCTGTCGCTATTCTGGAGTAAGAAGTTCCACATGGAGAGCTATTCCAGAATAGCAATAGTAGAATCCTTATTCTGGAATAACTATGCTGGCCAATTTCCCTATGTAGACCAGCCCTTAAAGTTTTCCAGCTATCTGGCTATTCTGGTTCAGGGCTGCAATCACACTTGTAATACTTTTCCCAATGCATAAGCTTTGCTGTAATGAAGCACTGTGACCATTAGGTGGCAGTGCAACCCACAGCCAATGTAGGATAGATTATAGCTCAAAACTCTGTGGTAGTTGGGACAGGAAAGGCCGATTAGACCCAGTCTGTTCCCTCTGCAAGGGCAGAACGTGGTCCACAAACAGAAGACCCGTTGTGCTATTTGGCTGCGAGCTGTCAGCCTCCACCCCAAACCCTGTTTTGCCTCCAGCATTTATAATGGTATTGAATAGATAAAGTGTTTTTAATTTATAAGGGGAGGTCGCACTCAGAGCCTTGCTATTTGAAAGGGGTCACCAGTAAAAAAAAGTTTGAGAACCACTGCCCTAGAGGAAACTGGAGGCGTTGTGTTTCCTGTGACTTCTGAGAAGCCCCAGCGGCCTCTTGGAATTGATTTGATATAAGGTAGTGTCTAAATTGGAGCTAGCAGCTTTTGGCCTGATCCTTCTGGTGCTTACGCCAGTAGTTACTCCAAGGGTACCCTGGCTTTATCTCAGTAAGAGGAGTCTTTGGCCCCTCCTGTTTCAAACATATTCAACATGCAGCCCCCTCCCTCCCTATGAGGCAGTAACATGGCTCAAGATGCACTGGCTGAAATCTGAGTGGGGAGAGGAAGAATTGCATCTTCTTTCTTTGAGGAAAGAAGAACTCTAGAAAGAGATACCTGAGCCTTTCCTCTTATCTTCACAGTGGCATCACTTCCAGCCATTGTCATCAACATCTGCCTGGCTCTGTCCCCTATTGAGGAAGATACCGACTGACTAGGGAGTCTTCTTGCCCAGTAGGTTAAAGATGAATTGTGTTAACTGGCATTCAATCACCTCTAGGTACAGGCAGCAATAGAATGGGTGACCATGTGAGATGGTAAACCTTTTGCCTCTGACTGGTTCAAGTCCAGCCCATGCTGGAAGGGATGCAAAGTGGCTACCAGCTGACGGTTGTTGGCTAGCCTACAAAAAGTGAGTTGGAAGGTTTACATTACAGATTCCACTGGAAAATGGCTTGACTAAACAAGTGTTTGTGAGAAAAATTCCGTGTGTCCAAATAGGGGGGAAAAAATCAGTTTGAGTTTATTTTTTGATAGCCTGACATTTAAAAAGAATGTAGTATTAAAATGGGGGGGATTCCCACCCTGCATGACCATGGAGAATGAACTTTTTCAGTCCTAGCAGAAAAGGAAGATCAAGCAAGGTTATGCTGGTTGCCTAGAGCTTCCAATGCTGCACCGCTCTCTGTTTAGGCAACAGACAGATACAGCAATGTTTCTTTCTAGGGCTGGTACCTTTCACCAGCATGAACCTATTTGGAGTAGTTTTAAACACGCAGGAGAGATTACACACACTAAAAACTAGAGCCACTGCCCTTTAGTATCCGAAGCATTTATTTACGTTTTTGTAAGCTTTTAGAAACATTGGAATAAGCTGATTACAGATAAGCCCCCTCTTTTAAACAGTATACAGGCACAGTGTAAAATCCATTCTCCTATTAATTTGTGCTTCTGAACTCTTCCATCAGCTCTTGTGAAGGGCAAGGTGCCGTGCTTAAGACACAGTGAAATCTACTCCGAAGAATTTAAAGTAGTTCAAGGTTCCCTATCTGCCTTTGAGCTCCCCTACCACTTTCTGGCCTCTTATGATCCATTCCATCTCTTTTGCTTTGGTGGTGGTGGGCAAAAGGCCATACATAGCAGCAACTATGAAACTGATCATACAAAGTGGTGGTGTCACAGCCAAAATCAAACAGACATGTTTTTATCCTAATCTGTTACATTTATAACAAGAATTGATACAAAACTTTCACACAGAAGTGATTACATTAATTAGCCCTGAACAGCTCACAGTAATTGACTACAATCATCTCCTCCAGGAGCTAGTGGGAAAACGGCCGTGGTCTCTGCTACCAGGCACTTAGTAACCTGTTCAAAGCACACAGCTTGCTAGGACTAGAGCCAGTGATGGCTGCGCTGGAGGAAAGGGGGAGACTGGGGACGAATGTGGCTACCAGAGATCACTGCGAGAGCCAAGACTTATCTTTTTATCTAAGCCTGGAAGAATTTGAGGGGAGGAGACTGGAAGAGGGGGCTGTGCCCCAGCTCTCCACAGCCCCATCCCTGCTCCTCCTAAATGCTGACCCCACGTGCTCGCAGCCAGTAACAGCCACCACACTGGGGGACCTAGCTCTGGGGCCAAGAGCCCTTGGGGAGCAGGGCCCAGGAACCCAGGCCAGAACAGGCAGCTGTGGGGAGCCCCAGACCCTCCACCTGCCCTGGACAGCGTGCCCCGCTGGGCTGAGACGCAGGGTCAGGAGCTGCTCTCAGGCCCCCAGCCGCTGCTGATGGTGGCGCTGCCTTCAGAGCTGGGCACCCAGCCAGCAGCCACTGCTCTTCCCGCTATGTCTTCAGACCTGGGTGGCTGGAGAGCAGCAGCTGCTACGGGGGGGGGGGGGGGGCGATAGCCCCTGCAAGCTTCCCCCCTGCAGTGCAGCCCCTGCTCCCAGGTGATGCTTTATTAGAGAACCTTGGCATGGGGTAGCAAGTCTGTCTGCGTGGCCTGGAAAGATTTCAGTGCCCTTTTCTTGGTTTCTTTCCATCCTAGTGAGAAAGGAGTTAGTGCCAGGAGAATTATACTTAAGTGGCTGCAGTGAAGGCAGAGAGAGGGAGTCCCAATTCAGCATCTGCAGGTGTCCGCTTGATGATGATCTTGGGGGCATAAGACCTGCAAACACACTTATGGCAGTACCAGCTGCAGAGGAAGTTTACTGGCTACCAGCAGAATAAAGAAGAGCGAGAACCCAAACAGAGCAGAATTCAAAGACAGATTTTTGCAGTGCTGGTTTCATCTCCCCAAGCCTGGGGGGCAGCACCATGGCCTCAGCCTAAATTGTAGTATAAGGGAGACTGGGTGGGTTGTGCTGCTTGGAGCAGCTGAACTCTCTGGATCATAAAGAATATGGTCACACCAATGCATCCCAGCCCGATCACCACGGCGAGGATGTTGATGGCTCTTGCAGTGTCGGAGGCAGTCTTCGCTCCTGCGATATCTCTGCGTGCTAGGCACTCCTCCACCTGGGGACAGAGGCACGGGCTAATTAGGAACGACATTTTGTAAACTGCTTTCAGATCCATGTGTCTTGTACCTAATAAATTGGCTTCCCCATAACAGGTAAAATAAGAGATCTGTTTGACAGGCAGGTAAAAGAGAAACAGGACCAGATTCTGCTCGGTTATAAATTTAAAGTCGCTCCACAGATTTCACTGGAGTTACTCTGGATTTACACCAACAAAAATGAGCGCAGAAACTGACCCATCAAAGCTAAGGTCAGAGTTTTCAAAAGCAGCCCCTCATTTTTAGACATCAGTTTTTGGGCACTCAACTTGAAACCCCCTTTGGCCTCAGAGGTGCTGAGTTCCTAGGAGAGCTGTTGGGTGCTCTCTGCACCCCTAAAACTAGTCCATAAGGTATCACGCTGGGCAGACAATCAGTGGCTGTTCCTGAACATTTAGGCTTGACTGACTTGTCCAAGGCCATACAGCAGTCTGCTGCTTTCATGCCTGGAGACAGGAGCGTCGTGCTTGGGTAGGTCAGCTCTCCCTCCTGGGTCAAGATGATCCAAGTATCAGAGTGCGGGGTGGAATTTAGATTAAATCTCTTCCCTTTAACTCATTTGTGTTACAATTAGATTCTACTAGGGGATCCAAAGTCTCAGCCTCTCAAAGATACTGAGTTCATCTAGCCCAGTGGTTCTCAACCAGAGTACGTGTAACCCTGGGGGTACGCTGAGGTCTTCCAGGGCTTACATCAACCCATCTAGATATTTGCCTAGTTTTACACTAGGCTACATAAAAACCACAATCGAAGTCAGTGCAAATTAAAATTTCATACAGACCATGACTTGTTTATACGGCACACAAGTGTAAGTACAATATTTTTATACACAGATTTATTTTATAATTATGTGGTAAAAATGAGAGAGGAAGCAATTTGTCAGTAATAGTGCGCTGGGACACTTTTGTATTCTGACGTCTGGTTTTGTAAGCAAGTAGTTTAAGTGAGGTGAAACTTGGGGGGGACACAAGACAAATCAGACTCCTGAAAGGGGTACAGTAGTCTGGAAAGGTTCAGAGCCACTGCTCTAGCTCTTGGTGGTATGACCACCCCCACAATGCTGTGGGGAAGAGTAACTTTGTACTGTTCCTTACTTCTAACAGACGAATAACATTCCCACCCTCTGTCCAGAAAGCTATTTGCAACAGAGTTCTGCTGAAATAAGCCAGCAGTGCCCCGCGTCATCAGAACAGCCAGGTTGAGCAACAACTTTTATGAATGAACCATCTAACTGAAAGAAGCCCCTTATCTGGTCTATGTTATCCTCCCATACATTGGTTACTTGACTGTTTCCCCGCATACATTTTAATATCTTTTAGTGCCGGTGAGAAGGGTTTGCCGGCCTAAGAAGCAGTTGTGCAAGACTCCCCCAACTCTATTCAGTCAACATGTTTCACCTTGGGAGTAACCCACCCCCTCCTGGAGGCGAGGTTTTTTTTCCCCCCCCCCTCCCTTCAAACCGTTCCAACACACAGTGGAACAAATGAAACTTGTTCAGACCTGCTGAAGTTTCCATAAAACGCTATGTCAGCCAGTCACACCCCAATCCAGCAAAGCACAGTAGTGTCACTGAAGTCCCATTGGCTTTCACAAGGACTATATACTTGTGCTTAAGTGCTCTTCTGGATTAGGGTCTTGGAATGTGTCTACATTCGGGTTGAAGCCACCAGGGTAACTACACTAATGCAAACCCCGAGCGTACATGTGCTGCACCGATGCATTGCACTCTTGTTTCATACCATGCAGCGTGTTTACACTCGTTTACATTTGTGCAGCTGAGACCTTAATAGACCCGGCCAAAGTCTGGAACAACACAAGCAGGGTAGTGAGCTCTAGTGGCCAACAAATGAGTATTTTTTTAAAAATCAACTTTGAAAGGGTCTCCTTGCATTTAATACACAAACTAAAATGCCCCAGTGTCTGTTTAGAGATTGTCTCTCTCGTCACTGTATTTTAAACCCTCTTGCTTCCTGTTTTTGAAAGCTTTATGGGTTAGGCAGAAGCCACTGAACTCTGGGGGGTTTAGAAAGTTTTTGCTGCTCATAACAGAGCTGACATCTATTCTCAGCTGGGAGGAAAACAGAAAAGGCTGTTGGGAAAAACTGCCCAAAGCAGTGAATTCCAAGATGATGATTTTAATCAGTTTTCCGTCCTATTCCCCATCCCTCCATTCTCAGGTCCCAGTTAGCCAGCTCCTGCCAGGACCCCCCACCCACAAACTGCCTGCCCATAAGCGTATGGGGTCAGAAGCAGCAACGTCAAATCAGATTTTTCAGACTCAAGCATGTTGAGTGACTGCACCGTACAAGGCATCGAAGGCCTGGCCTTCCCCTCTAGGCCATTGCTTCAAATCTAGTCTAGGTTAGGAGCAACTATTCATGGTTACTTTGGCTGTGAACAGTCTGTGCTTGTAACCAGGAAGGTTTCGAAGCAGAGGGACTGCGAAGTTCAGCTCTGGATCTGACCATCCCCGGGGTGGGATCGATCTAGCTTTTCTTTTGTAGTCCGTCTGCCCCGTGCCTTAAAAATCGAACATCAGAGGCTCCAGAGGGGAAGCCAGAGCGGAGTGTAACTACTAATGCATTCCCACCAGCAGCTATCCGAGTATCACAATATTACTGCCAGGCTGACCTGCCTCACATGAGTGGTGCTACTCCAAGGAGGTGCAGACCATGGAACCGACACCTCCCAGTAGGCACTATCCCATGCTGATTAAAGGGAATGTCCCCAATGGCAGCATAATATGATATTTAATAGTTTAATCCAACTGCTGTGAGAGAGAGGTTATTCTGACATTGCTTTGCTTTTACATTCAATAGTCTATTCATTTTATCTACTGTTACAGGTAACAACTATGATTACAGTGAGGGGGGAGGGGGAATTCCACTTTACTTTCTACAAGCAACTTTCTCTCCTGATTGTAGGTCACACATGGCAATGGGGGGAGGGGGAGTGTTGAGCTGTCACTTGTCTAAATTAGACTTGTAAATGTTTCTTATTCTGGACACCAGGGCTCCAGGAATGCACCAAGAAAAGTCAGATGCATCATTGGGCGTGCTTGGAGCCTGTCTGAAACAAGGCTACACTTAGACTTCGCCACTACTGTGGGTAAGGAAATACAGGGCATGATATTGGAGGCAGCCGGCAACCTGCTAATGCCCAAGGAGAAGCTTACGAGATTTCTCACAGCTACATCCCTTAAGAAGAGGTACTTGCCAAGAGGAACAGATTCAGGGATCATCATCTTTGGTGCCCCTATACTAACTACAGGGGTGAAGGAGGAGCATCTACCACCTTGACTCGTTCATTGGGGCCGAGCAGACTTCTAGAACAAGTTGCTGACAGCCACCAAACCCACTTCCACGTGTACATGACCATCTTGAGCTAAGTGAGGAGTCGAATAGGAGTTCAGGACGGGGTGTATTACTTGCACTGACATGATACAGTCCTGATTTAAGAATCCTGTATTAGAGACTGGTGCTATTGTCTTGATTCTTAATGTTACCCTCTCATTGTACAGTTAAATGAGAGTTGAAAACCAGGGGCTGTGTGAAAGTATGGCTCTAAAAGGGTTACATATTGCTTAGTTCAGGGCAAGATGACTATACCTGTAAAACAAGGTTTTAAAGTCTATTTACTTTGCAGCCCTGCTGCAGGAAGTCTTTCACTCTTAGTAATCTGTGTGTGGGGTGTTTATGGGAGACTTACTGTCTTCACGTAACCCTTAAGCAAATGAAGTACATAGCTGAGCAACTCACTTAACCAGCTGTGCAAAGTCTCCGAGGTCCTTGCATAGCACTGTCAATGTGCCGCACCCCTTGCTGTTCTATTCCCGTTGGCGTAGGTAGCGTCTACACTGAAGCGTGACGGCGGTGCCTCAGGGTTTCAAGTGTAGACGAGGCTGCACAGCCAGTCAGTGGGACAAGAAGCCAGGGAGGCTAAGTTCTGAGTCTCACTCCCCAAATTAGGTAATAGAGGGGGGAAGGTTTCAGATCAGGAGCATTTGAAAATTTACACAAGTACACCTTAAATGTGGGATTTTTTGGGGGGGGGCTATGGGAGCTGAAAGCCTAATAAAGCTTTGTCTAGAGGCACAGTTGTCAGTCAGATGAAATATGATAAATGTGTCAATCTACTCTTTAACAGGGCATTATTAAAGATCAGTGTGCCCAGGAGAGACTTCAGCCTGTAAGTTGTCCTGGTAAAGTGGTGTGAACAGTCAGCCATCTGTCTAGCCACTCCAATATATGAGAGAGAAAAGACAGGCCAATTAAAGTTTTACTAGGCCCAGCTGGGTTTTTCCTTAGGAGGAACTGTCCCTTCCTTATTACTTGAAACCGTCATTCTTTTGTTAATGGGTAGCTAGTTCCTTGAATAAATGAAGCTGGCACAATTGCTTTGTTGTTAAACCTAGAATAAACAAACTTTCAATATCCAGTCACAGTTGCGTTACACTTCTGCAAAGGGATTGAGTAATGTGCTAAACCCAGAACTAAAACTTCCCCAAATCCTGGGATAGGTGAGAGCTGAACTTTCCAGCTTCCGCCTCTCTCTAGAAGACCCCTATGACGACTTTGGCTCACCTGTTGCTTGTGCGGTGGCTAAAAATGTAGAGACGGTAGACTTTGTCCAAAGATCTTTCAGAGTAGATAGACCAATGGTCTAGTTGAGGAAATCCTACCTCTAGAGTAGCCAACTCAGGTGGGAGAATTGCCTTCCTTGCTCCCCAACAGAGAGTGCACAGCCTGGCACGTTCAAATCCCAGCAGATAAAGGGGTGGGGGAGACTTCTCTCCCGCTCCCTTGGGTGATCCACCTCAAAGCATGAGATCTGAATGTTCATGTCAGAGTTTGCATAGTTACAAGCGTTCGTGTCATAAAATCACTCAGCCCTTAAAAATGGCCAACCGCAGAACTAAGGTGAATCAGTGAAAATGGTATGCCCACCTTTGTGTTACAGT